TGCACCTCACTGGGAGAAAGGCCAATTTTCAACAGATTTTGATTATTTCCTGAATTTTCTTTTTTTGTATGGAGGATTGAACTCAGGACCCTACAGTTGCCAGGCAAGCGCTTATTCTACTGAGCTATCTCCCTGGGCCTTGAACAGTTTTTGAAACCCAAGACAATATATACAGAGGTATAAGTATATACCTGTGCATATACACACATACATGTAAACAAATGCACATACAAACACACACACACACACCTATGAAACACACACACACACACACACACACACACACCTATGAAACTAGTGAAATATGAATAAATTCTATGGAGAGTACCAGTGCAAACATCCCGGTTTTGCAACGACCCTATATAGACAACAGGGGAAGGGCACATGATATCCCTCTGTGTCTTTCGGAAACTTCTTATGAGAATTTAATTATTTCAAAAAAAAAAAAAAAAAGGAAAATGTTCATCAGAACTGTAATTATAAGTAGAACTGACTGCATGAAAATCACCTCCTCCTGTGAGCTTCAGCACTACCCAACCAGCAACACGGCAGAGTAACATCCACACTCCAGGTTTCAATGCCACACAGATTTCATGCTGCCTGAGACCACACCAAGTGGAACCCCTGAAAGGCAGCCCTGTGCCCCATCATCCCCTGAAGAGGAACTGTATTTCCAGGGACTGTTATTCTAGTTGAAAGCCCACTGCTAGCTTGAAAGTACCGAAGCAAGAGTGTCCCCTTGTGTACCACGGCCCCAGTCCAGCCAGCCCAAGAAGCCAGACCATGAATAAAGCACTGGGTTAAGTAATGCCTGGGAGGTTAATAAAGCACTCTCCTGGGTGTGTCCATTGGTCATGGAGGCATGGCCTGGGATCCTGTACCTGGTCCTGGGCCCCTTCCTGCGCCATGCTGTTCCCTGCTGTGCTTTCCAGCTTCCATGACTAAGGAGCTTTGCTCTACCGCATCCTTCTGCCCTAATGATCCTGCTCTGAAGCCAGCCAGCCAGGGACTGTGTCCTGAAACTGTGAGCTAAATTAAGCCTTCCTTTAGGTTGTGGGTGTCGGATATGGATCTCAACAAGGGGAAGGCTGAGTAGCAGAGAATTCTTATAGACTGTTGCTGGGAATGAAAATTAGGGTAATTGCATGGAGCTTCCTGAAAAGACCAAAAAGAGACCGGCTATGTAATCAGCCATCCACGGTTGGATATATAAAGAAATGAAATCAATGTGTGCAAAGATATCTGATACCTGTGCTCTATTTTTTTATCAAAAATGGTATTTTTTTCAGCAACATGAATATGACAGGAGACATTATGTAAGTGAAATAAGCCAAGCACACAGACAGATTTTGTGTGTTCTCACTCATACGTGGAAGCTAAGAAAGTTGACCTCATTAAAGTAGAGAATCCAGGGCTGGCCAGATTAAAGCACCTGTTTAGGCAAACATAGGGACTGGGGTTCGATCCCCAGCATGCCATGCCGACCCTGCCCCTGGGGTGTGCTGAGACAGCAACTGAGATAGGCCGTGGTGGAGTGCTCCTGTAGTCCCAGCGCTTGGGAGGCCGAACACGGGAGAATCACTGTAATCTGTGTAGTGAGACCCCATAGACCCGGTACTAAACACATTTTTCAAAAAAATTTTTTGAAAAAATAGAGAATACAGTAATCCCTCACTGCTTCGTGGTTTGACTTTTGCGAACTTAGTCTTTTGAAGGTTTTTAAACAATATTAATCTAAATTGTTTGTCGCAGATTTTTTGCTACATCTCAGGCTTTTGCAGTATTGTACAGTACACGTATGTTGATAAAATTCCATAGATTTATGAGTTTAGAAAATGGTTAAGAACATTAGCAGTGTTTTTTAAAGTGTGGGAAAGGTTTATAAAGGTGTGGGAAGGGTTATAAAGCCTTAAAAAATATATAAATACTAAAATAAATATAAGGTCGCTACTTCGCTGATTTTCACTTACCGCGTGACCTCCGTGGTAAGTGAGGGACCTCGTATAATAAGGGCTGTCGGCGTCTAGGAAGGAGAAGGGGGACGGGAGAGATAAGTGTCCATTAACAGGAAATACAGTGAGAATGATTAAATCCTAGTGTCTGCAGCTCAGGAGGGTGACAATGTTTAACAATAACGATGGTAAATTGCAAATAGCAAGGAGAGAGGATTATGAATATTTTCAGCTTAAAAAAGTGACAAACGTCTGAGGTGGCAGACGTGGCAAGAGTCTGAGTAGATCGCTGCACGTTGTGCTCACGTGCTGAAACAGCATGAATATGCACAACTAGGCATCCAAACTGGGGAAAAAACAGAATGGAAAAAATTAACTCGCTTGTTTTAGACCCAGTAGCAAAGGTACAGAAAAAGGAAATGAAAAGCAAAGCAAAGAAAAAGAAAGGGCAGAAAACTGGCTCCTGCCTCGGAGGAATGCCATGTCTAGTCCAAGTGTTGCGGGAGAGCACAAGGTAATCCGTATTTGTGCACTTGAAAAAGTGTTTCAGACATCACGATTCTAAGAATTCAGAGGAGCAAAAGGCTTCTCCCAAGACCTTCGGAGACGCCTTCACAGAAGCGGGGAGTGAGCAGGATCTGAGGCTTCGCCGACAGCCACGGGGACCCGGTCCACTGGAAACGGGGAAAGGAGCACGCGCGGTGGGGATGGTCGGGGCTCCCGCGGGGTGGAGGACGGATTTGCAATGTGGGCTGTGGAAGGAAGACAGGACAGCATGTCTAGACGTTCCTGTGACCATCGGTGAGCCACTGGAGCGTTTGGACAAGCAGAGATTACGTGTAAGGTGTATTATCTTCATAATCCCCAGTACAGCTAGCACGATACCCTGAAAATAGAGGAATACTTGGACGAATTATTGTACGGAATGGAACGGGGTGGGACAGGTCACGACAGGATAGAACGGAAGTACACTGGCAGACCCTAACTTTGAAAATCGTCACATTACTTCCTTTGCTTTAATTATAATGAGAAATACTATAGGAAATGTCTGCAAAATTAATGAGAAATCTTAAAGCCAAAAGTTCAAGAGCTAGATTTCAAATAATGATAAAATAAATTTTAAAATTTTAAACAATAAAATTTGAATGATAAAAGTATTGGTGACAATATGACATCAAGAGATGGTGCTCAGCAGGTTGAAATGCTGCTGTCTACATGAATATGACATTGACCAGTTGGGCCGGCCAAATAGCTCCACAGAGTAAAGCACCTGTATTTTAGTAAAAATCAATAATAAAGTTAAAAAAAAAAAAGCACCAATAAGCAGGCGCAGGGGCTGGGGCTTCAATCCCTGGGCCTGCTGTGCCAGCCCCTCCCCTGGGGTACGCTGAGATGGCAATTGAGACTGGGCGTGGTGGCGTCACCTGTAATCCCAGCTCTTGGGAGGCTGTAAACAGGAGAATCACTATGAGTCCGGTCTAGTAGTGAGACCCTGAACACCCTGTAGACCCTTCCCTAAAATAAAAAAAAAGAAAGACATTGACCAATTGCCAGTGGCAAGCTGTCACAGTGAATGTGACATTGATATTGGAGAGACTAGGAGGAGCTAGCTAATATCACTGATTAAAAAAAAAATATAAAGTAGGACATGCCGGTGCACACATGTAATACCAGCACTCTAAGGCTGAGGCAGGAAGCTTGCAAATTCAAGCCCAGTCTGGGCAATTCAGAGGCTTGTTTGACCTTATTTCAGAAATAAAAGTTAAGAAAAGTGCTGGAAATATAGCTCAGTGTGAAACCTCTGGACTCAATCCCCAGTACCACTAAAAGGAAAAAGTATCAAGAAGCAATATGTTTTTGAATAAATTTTAGTGGCTAGTGTAAAATGATTACTTTTTTAAGAATACAAAATAGTGATAGAAAAAGAAAAGCATTAGAAACAATACAAGATTTCACTAAACAAAGTACTAGGAATTCACCAGTCGTTGCTGTATTACATGATGCTATCTTCAAATTGCTTGCTCAGATTATCAGATATAAATGTACCAGATTTAAAGAAAAAAACAATAACAAATAAGTTATAAGAAATTCAAAAGAGGGAACAAAAAATCACAGCTGAAAAAGTTTAAGCAGTAATTGCTCCTTTCAAAAGACCAGCAGAAACTGACAATATAATTACCCAAATCATTCTGCATATATACCTAAATATATCTTTTTCCCTTCTTTCTTTTGTCCTTTTCCTCATCCCAGTTTTTCCTCCCCACTGAACAATTTCTTTCCCTTTCACAGTTTCTGTCGTACCTTTTAGATTTTAATTATTCTTTCAGGTTGTCACACATCAAGATAATATGATGTTTGCACATGTGGGTCTGATTTATTTCACTTACCAATATAATCTCTAGCTGCATTCATTTATCTACAAAAGCTTCAACTTTATCTTTTTTATAGCTGACTGTACTCCATTGTGTAAAACTACAATATCTTTTTTATCCACTCCTCAGTAGATGGGCATTTGGGTTGTTTCCAACATTTAGCTATGACAGATTTCCCTGCTATAAACATGGGCGCACACATATGTCCTCTTCGTGTGATGATTTCAGTTCCTTAGGAAAAATACCTAGAAGGGGGGTAGCTGGCATAAACGGGACCTCCAATCCTAGCTTTTTGAGGAATCTTCATACTGATTTCCATAATGGTTATACCAGCCTGCACCCCCATCAACAATGGAGAAGGATGCTTTTTCCTCACAGCTTCTCCAGCACTTGCTCTTGGTTGACTTCTTGATGACAGCCATTCTTTCTGGCATAAGACGGACCTCAGTGTTGTTTTAATTTGCCTCTCTTGAATGACCAATGATGTTGAACATTTTTTCAAATACTTGTTTCCATTTGCATCTCTTCATTTGTGAAGAAGTGTATATTCATCACATATGCCCATTTTTGGATTGGCTCTTTAAATTTTGGAGGCCTTTGTAATTATGTATTTCAAATCTGAATTTTTAGAGTATACGGCGCACTCACAGTGAATCTGTTGTTTTCCTCCTGGCAGATCCAGTACAGGATTTTGGCCTTTCTATTGACCAATGTTCCAAACATATTCAACCGAAGGTCAGGATTCGATTTGGCATCATTCTGAGTAAGTACAAATTGTTACCATAAAATAAAATATGGCTCTGGTTCTTCCTATGCCACTTGGGTGACACATGATATCTATAGTGTAAGTCAGCTGGCTGACTAAACTCCTGTGACCCCCACCTCCACCCTCTGCTAGTAACTCCACCCCTAACCTCATTTTCAGTTCTCTGAGTAATACTTAAATAAAGGAGAACTCACACTTAGAGCCATGGTTTTGTACTAAGAAGACCTTCGACACTCATTTGGGTGAATGAGCTCCTGAAACAAGTGCATCCAGGAGAAGTCAATGGACGTGTTCTGAGGCTAAGTCTTGATATGTACATAGGAGAGAACCTGTGTTTAGTTGTCTTGGCCACAAACAATACCAACTACTGGCAGCAGGATTTGGCATTTGCACTGTTTTGGCCCCAAAGAATTATGGTAAATTCTTAAAGCTTGACGTAGGCAGCTGTCACCCTCATGCCCTTTAGCATGGCTTAAACACTGCTTCACCAAGAAAAAAAAGAACTCGTCTCCACCACAGAGCAGAGAAATGGAAAGAAAAGGCCACTTACCTTGCTGGTGGAAGGGCGCATGCTCACCATGTATTGTGCTACTGGTGGGACAAAAGAATGAAGTTGCTCTTCTCTTTCCTTTTAGGGGAGGACATCAGAGAGCTGTACCTTGACATAGCTCTCATGAGTAAAGGTGCCTCTGTTTTGAACTACTCCTTTCCCATCTGTGAGGTGGACCTACCCAAGTTTTCCTTCTGTGGAAGAAAGAAAGGAGGTAAGCCACCTGCCTTACTTACAGCTTACGTTTGAGGCCAGAACCCCCAGGCCGGAGCCCCCTGGGACAGAGCTCAGGCTCTATCCTTCATCTTTGAATGGACAGGCTTAACCACATTTATCAGAACATCTATTACATAATAAAAACTACAAGAAGCCCACCTCTAGGGCCCACCTCACAGGGCTGTTGCAGACATCAGTGTGAACCGACACATGGGCCATGACTCCCGAGCAGAACATTGTTACTGGGTGCAGCGGCACTGTACTAAAGGGAATGGGCAGCAGAAAGAGATGATAGCCTCCAAGGACCCATGGAAAGTCAAAAGTACTTCCAGGCTTTTCTCTCAGTGATTTTGTTAGGGGCAGGGTACCCTCAAAGACAATGGAATCTCAAAAGGAAAATCCACAAAGCTTACTAAATTCTAAATGTCACTGCCTTCCTCCCCCCCGCCCCCCGGGGCTGCCAGCAGGGGCATGAGGTAGGCAGACTCAAAGGAGAGAACAGAAGCGCCATGTCATGAGCTGCCTCTTCTCTAACTCACTGGGCTGCCGTGAGTCTGCACTGCACCCCCTCCCACTCTCCCCCTCCTTCTTGTCCACCTACCAGGCAAACCAAGACCCTAAGATGCCTCTGTTCAACTGAAACTTGAATCTGCCATGCAGCTGGCCTTCTCTGGGAGTTGCTCTCTTCTGGTTGTGCTCTCCTTCCACTGGCTAAGAGGGAGTGTAGCTCAACTCTACACCCCAGAAATGTGTCCTTACGTATCTCCCCACTCAAGGAAGCTATGAAATTAGACAGTAGGAATCCTCTAAAATCACCCAGTTATCCTTTCTAAACAAAAGTCCTAGAAGATGTTGGAGTCTCCTCCCCATACTAAGGCATACAGATGAAAAAAGCTTGCCTTGTAAATAAATAAAATGAGATTTAAGGAAAGCTTGGCCAGGTGCAAGCCTGATGAACTGAAGTGTGATCAGCAGGTGGTTTCCTTGGTGTCCCCCATGCATGTGTGCACATACTGTAAACCCTGCTGTGTTATACTGGAGCCCTTCTCCCTTCTTGACATCCATCCGGGACTATGAACTCCTTGTGATGGGACAGCATCACCTTTGTCTCCTTATTCCTAGTATATTATCCCTCTCTGGCTCTTGGGAACAGGCTCCAGGTCCACTCTGCAAATATCCAAGTCCGTATAGACTGAAGTGCCTTCCCAAACTGAGTCGTCCTTGCATCGCACCTACACAATCCTCCCATACACTGTAAACTATTTCTAGATGACTTGTAATACTTCACACAGTGTGAGTGCTGTGTAAGTCACCTTTATGCTGCAGAGTTTAGAGGATACATGTTCCATACAGACACTGTTTTTTCCAAGAGTTTTCCATTTGCAATTGATTGAACCCCTGGGCACAGAATCCAGGGATTTGAAAACCACAGATAAAAAGGCTCACTGTGTTTCAAATGGGCCCGATACATAGGAAGCACTAAATACAGACGCACTGAGAGAGTAAAGTGGCTGGCATTGATGAGGTTTTACACCAGCTGGTGTTCCAAGAGCTTTAGATCCAAGAAGCCACGGACATCGCACCCCAAACTTATGAGTTAGTCTGATCACTACTCTTTCTTTATAGATGCAGGTACTGAGGGAGATGTAGCAAGCCACAGAGTGGGCGAGAGACCCATGGCATGGCCCCAGGCAGGCTGGCTTCAGAGTTCATGATCTTAGCTTCCAATAAGTGGATGAACAAAAGTGCAAACAGCCAAACATATGGTCTCTGGGAGTTTCTTTACTATAATTACTCAAGGATTCCCCCCCCCCCAGTGGTCTATGCTTCAAATTAAGGTGGTTTTTTTCTACCTAGTTAACTTACTATAGAATGATACCAGTTTTCCTCTCTCAACTTATTGAAAATATGTTAAGTGAGTCCATTCATGAATCTTGGTAAATCCAGTTTGTCTACCTTCAGCACGGTGAACTCTCATTTGTCAATCTCCATGAACACTGCCCTACCGCTCTCACCTAGGAGAGCCCCAAATCCTCAGCTATGCTGGCCCCCAGCCAGGCCTTCTGCTCTCCTCTCTCCTTCCCCCTTCCCTCCTTCCTTCCTTCTTTGCATCCACAATAACTAAGCCCTTACACTGTGTCAGGTTCTCCAGCGAGCCCCAGCTGAACTAAGAAGAGTCTCTCCTCTCAAGGGCATAGTACCTGTCTAGAGAGCTGCACCACACAGCTGCTCCAAGTTGCCATGTGTGGTGTGTGCACGAAAGGAAAACGAGCCAAAAGCCCAGTCAGCCTGAGAGGGGCAGCTCAGCCCCAATGGGTCCCACCTGTGGCAATGGGACCAACCCAGGAAACTGAAAAAAACTACTTTTATGTTTTATTTTTAGCTTATCTGAAGCCTTTTACATGTTTTTCAGCTCTGTGTGTGTGTGTGTGTGTGTGTGTGTGTGTGTGTATGTGTGTGTGTGCAGTAGCTCTGCTGGCCTGAAAGCATTCCTGATTTTATATGTTCTATGAAAACATACTGTCAGAGGCTCGACCAGATAGCTCAGTGGACTAAAGCACCTGCTAGGCGGAGCACAGGGGCTGGGGTTCAATCCCCAGTGCACTGTGCTGACCCTGTCCCCGGGCATGCTGAGACGGTGATTGAGACTAGGCATGGGAGACTGAAAACAGGAGAATCACTGAGTCCGATCCACATAGTGATACCCTATAGACTCTGTATTAAATACATAAAAAAATTAATAAAGTCTAAACTCTTCAGATTCATTTCTTCTGCCTGATCCCCACGGCACAGCTACACACACCCATGGGGTACAGTGTGTCATGTCAAAGCACACGTGGAGCATATAGCACTCAGATCTGGGTCAGGGGCTCGTCTCTCCCCTCAGGCCATTGTCCTTCCTCTGCGTCAGACACATCCAAAGTTCTCCCTGTTGGCTATTTTGAGATAGTGAATTAACTGTTGCTGGCCATAGGTATGCCACTGGGCTGCAAAACATTAGAAGTTATTTCTCCTGTCCCCTGCACACTCGTACCCATAAACCACCTGTCCCCATCTCTGGCCGCCACCCTCCTCCCTGCTTCTGGTAAGCAGGATTCTATTCTCTGTGTCTTTGAGATCGACTCAAAGTACAAATGAGCACAGGTGATATCTGTGTTCCTGCTTCTCTGAATACGCCCTCCTACTTACCTGCATCCCTGAAAACGACAGAACTACCTTCTTCTCTATGACTGAACAGTGGTCCACCGTGGACATAGACCCTAGCTGTGCTTTGTATGCTTTCATTCATGAGTTGATACCTAGATACCTGCGCTCATCCCAAAGTCAATATTCTTTCAACAGCCAAAAGGCACCCTGAATGCCATTATTCTACTTCTCCAGCCACATCCTGGCCCACTTCTCATCGCACCCTCAACAAGACATTGCCGCTCTGACCACACACATTTCCAAGCACATAGCATCGGTCACCTGGTCCCCTAAGCCTGCAGCACCTGCTGTGAATTTTTCTTCCATTGACACCTAATTTTAAAAGTCTTCTTCTAACCCCAACCAATGATTTGCTCCTTCCGTGTGGTCCAAAAAGCATAAAATTCTACTTCTGTGGTACCCTCTTCCCTCTTCTTTTGTGTGTGTGTGTGTGTGTGTGTGTGTGTGTGTGTGTCCCATTAAACTTTGAACTCCTCAAAGGCTGTAATTCTTGCTCATCTCTGCTTCTGTACACATAACAAGAATAGCTGACACAGAGTACAGACAAAACAAATGCTTTTTATTAAGTTTGCCTGTGGACATTGAGGAACTGGATAAAGTATACAACAGCACTTTAAAAGTGACTATCAAGTGACCCTTATGTACAGCAAAGACCAAAAGCTCAGCAAACAGTAAATTGTTTTGATCCTCCAACTTTAAGAAAGCCTTACAATGTGTTACTCTGGGCATAGTTTTGATAGAATCAATAAAACAGGAGAATATCTTCTTCAGACAGTGAGAGGTGTCCAATTTAGTGAACAGCTTGCAAGTCTGGGGTTGGCCTCATCCGAATGCGGGGCAGCCCTTTAGCCCTTCATTTGCTTTATTACTGTGAGGATGGTGACTGCACAGACAGGCTGCAACACAAGCATCTTGGGTACTGCCAGCAGGTTTCCTGTAGCACAAAACAACCAGAGAAATGATATACAAATGTCACTTGAACAGATAAGTATGCAAATGATCAGCCAGAGACACTGACATCTTTATTCAGAGGCTTCTTGAGTTATTACATTTTTCTAGTCCTCCCACAAACCTACTACAGGAATGATGGTAATCCAAAGATGCAATTAATACTGAGCCTAGAAAGGTGGGGGGGATGATACCAGGGAGAACTGAAGTCAATCAGACCCAAGCCCAAGCTGCTGCTGACACACAGGCATGAAACAGAGCGCTGCAGTGGCCTGTGGGTGGGGAACAGCCCTGGTGTCCGTGGTGGGTGGCACGGTCTGGTGTCAGCTGTCACTGGCTTGTGTGGTGTTGCATGCACCCCCTTCTGGTACATTCCTCTGGAAACTGCACCCAACTTGTCATTCTCCAAGTCACACGAGACTACAAAATGGGTCGGCCTTACTGCAACTGTGAGTTTAAAACACTGTCTCCTCTTCCACTTATGCATATTTGAGTAAAAACAGGAACCGTACAAATTCCGAAATAATGTCTGAGGGAAATAGACTGAGTGTGTTCACTGTCACTGGGGCAGAACACCTGAGACAATGAATCCAGCGGCCCGTCCTGGAAGAGTGAGAGACGCCGTACTACAGGGCTCCGTGCCTCTCCGTATATATAGCAGCACAATTCAGACCAGCTAACTTATTTCCTGTCTGCTTCCATCTTGTGAGGCATAAAATTCTTGTTATTGGTGTCTGTGATGTTGTGATTTATAATAGGAAATACATATTTTGCCTCTACCTCTGTTTCCTGGCAATCTTTATGATTGCCTCCCTGAACACAGGAGGGCCAGAAGAGAGTTGT